TGAGGACTGCGGAAATATTGTCCGGATTGGGCTGGATGCCATCTTTAGTAACGAGATGTCCTAGAACTTTTATAGCTGTGTTGCCAAAATGGCACTTCCTTGTGTTTAGTTGAAGTCCAGCATTGGAGAGACATGTGCGCACTTGATCTAGGCGTTGCAGGTGATCATCAAAAGTGGAAAAAAACACGACGACATCATCGAGGTAGCATAGACAAGTTTTCCACTTGAGGCCACGAAGAACAGTGTCGATCATCCTTTCAAATGTGGTGGGAGCATTACATAGACCGAATGGCATTACGTTAAACTCGTAAAGACCGTCCGGCGTAGAAAAGGCGGTCTTTTTTTTGTCTGCTTCGTCCATTGGTATTTGCAATATCCGGACCGAAGGTCAAGGGTGGAGAAGTATTGGGCGCCTTGCAATGAGTCAAATGCATCATCTATACGGGGCATCGGATATACCTCCTTTCGGGTAATCTTGTAGAGCGCGCGGTAATCAACACAAAATCGTACCGATCCATCCTTCTTTTGTACCAACACAACGGGTGTTGACCAAGAACTGGTAGAGAGTCGTATGATGTTTCTTTTTAGCATATCGGACACGTTCTCCTCGATGATTTTGCGCTCGGCCAAGGAGACTCGGTAGGGACGACGGCGTACAAGTGTCTGACCTTCAGTGTCGATGCGATGATGCGCAACTGTGGTCTGTCCTAGTACCGAAGTATTGGCGTCGAAGGAGGCCTGGTGTTTCGTTAGCAAATTTAGCAACGCCTCACGTTGAGAAGCAGAAAGGTCAGGATTTATACCGGGAGCAAAGGAGGAGGAAGTAACAGACTGGCCCTGTTGTGGCTGAGCTGTCAAGGTGTTAAGAGAGACCAAAGATACCGGTTGGGTATCCATATAACCGTGGTATTTTACAACACACACACACACACACACACACACACACACACATATATATATATATATATATATATATATATATATATATATATATAATATATATATATATATATATATATATATATATATATATATATATATATATATATATATATATATATATATATATATATATATATATATATATATATATATATATATATATATTGTGAGCGCCCGAGTGTGTACTGCTCCCCTGTGGCTCAACAGTATCTTGCGCGGTCGACAGTGAGCCTGTTGCGATTGTTACTCTTCCGAACAACAACCCCAACGATGTTCCGAAGTCGCAATCATTGCCATTCAATGCCTCTGCCACATCTGTGTCGCCGACAATAAGCAATGACTTAACACCTGATCAAACTGAAGATTTGCTCGCCCTGTTAAATAGACACCGTTCTCTATTTGACGTGAACTCGCCCGCCCTCAGCATGACTACCACCGCTACTCACAGCATCCAGACTGACGGCTCTCGTATTGTACATCGGCGTCCATATCGCGTGTCTCAGGCAGAACGCAAGATCATCGAGGAAAACGTCTCAGACATGCTACGACGCAACATCATACGTCCTTCCTCGAGTCCCTGGTCATACCCAGTTGTTCTCGTTCAAAAGAAAGATGGGACAGTGCGTTTCTGCGTCGATTACCGTGCGCTAAACAAAATAACGCGCAAGGATGTTTATCCCCTCCCTCGGATCGACGATGCACTGGATTCATTACAGGGCGCAGAGTATTTTTCCAGCCTCGACCTTAGGTCAGGCTACTGGCCGATACCAATGTCGGAGTCTGATAAAGAGAAGACCGCCTTTTCAACGCCAGATGGGTTGTACGAGTTCAATGTGATGCCTTTTGGACTCTGTAATGCGCCCGCCACCTTCGAACGCATGATAGACGGCGTATTGCGTGGTTTGAAATGGAAAACATGTCTCTGTTATCTCGATGACATAGTAGTGTTTTCATCCACGTTCTCGCAGCACATACAACGTCTTGACGAAGTCCTCACATGCCTTGCAAAAGCCGGTCTACAGCTTAACACCAAGAAATGTACCTTTGCTAGCAAGACAATCAAGGTTCTCGGCCACCTTGTCAGCAAAGAAGGAATTCGGCCCGACCCCGAGAAGCTTGCTGCTGTGCTCGATTTTCCTCGTCCACTACGTCAGAAGGACCTGCGCAGCTTTCTTGAGTTATCTTCTTACTTCCGGCGCTTCATACGTGGTTTCGCGGAACTTGCGTCTCCGCTCCATCAACTCCTCGCAAAGAACGTCCCCTTCATTTGGTCCGAAGACTGCGAAAGCGCTTTCACGGCATTGAAGCAAGCCCTCACGTCGGATCCGGTACTGTGCCACTTCGATTCCACCGCACCCACCATCCTTCACACCGACGCAAGTAGTCATGGTCTTGGTGCGGTACTCTTGCAGCGTGACAAAAACTCACGCGAACGCGTCGTTGCTTACGCAAGTCGTGCTCTTACCGCTCCAGAAAAGAACTACACTATCACCGAGCAGGAGTGCCTTGCTGTTGTTTAAGCAGTGCAAAGATTCCGACCATATCTTCACGGCCGTCATTTTACCGTCGTGACCGACCATAACGCCCTATGCTGGCTTTCATCGCTGAAAAACTTATCGGGTCGCCTTGGTCGCTGGGCGCTTCGCTTACAGGAGTATGATTTCGATGTCGCCTACAGATCTGGGAAGAAGCATCAAGATGCTGATGCTCTATCGCGCTGTCCTTTGCCCAGCGGAAGCAATTCACCATCGATACTCCGAAACAACAGCACCTCTCCAATCGCAGCGCTAAGTTCATCACCTGCCACCCTATTCGTCCTTGTTTCACAACAACGTGTCGACCCATACTGCCGCACCATTGTTGATCGCTTGACCGGCTCTACTACTCCTCCAAACGCCAGACTCCGTCGACAACTTAAACAATTTAAGCTTGTCGGTGATGCTTTATGTCGCTACATTTACCACATCGATGGCAACAAGTGGGTACCCGTCATCCCACGTTCTCTGCAACGTGAAGTTCTGGAAGCCTTTCATGATGATCCAACCGCTGCTCATCTAGGCTACCACAAGACTTACGACAAAATACGAAGTCGTTGTTTTTGGCCTGGCCTCTCTTCAGCCGTCGCTAAGTACGTCGCCTCCTGTGTCCATTGCCAACGGCGAAAACGACCGACAACTGCTCCGGCTGGCTTAATGCAACCTCTTCCTTGTCCCGCTTCACCTTTTGAAGTCGTTGGAATCGACTTGTATGGCCCTCTTCCTATATCGTCCAATGGCAATCGCTGGATTGTAACGGCAGTCGACCACCTTACCCGCTACGCAGAAACAGCTTCTATACCATCTGGGACTGCCACTGAGATCGCCGATTTCTTTCTTCGCCACATCTTTTTGCGTCATGGAGCTCCACGCATTCTCCTCAGCGATCGTGGCAAAGTCTTCCTATCTTCCATTGTCGAGCAAGTTTTGCGTGCCTCGAACACTGTTCATAAGACCACTTCTAGCTACCACCCGCAGACCAACGGATTGACTGAACGGTTTCATCGGACCCTATCGGACATGATCGCCATGTACATTCACCCCAACCACACGAACTGGGATGCAATTCTACCCTTCGTGACATTCGCCTATAATACGGCTGCTCAACGCACTACCAGCTTTTCTCCATTTTTTCTCGTCCATGGTCGCTCGCCGAGTTTCGCTCTGGATGTCTCTTTCCTTTCGGCCCCTGCACCCTCGACGGCTCCTTTCTCTGAAGAATTCCTATCTCGTCTCGCACACTGCCGTCACCAGGCCCGTGTTAACACCGGCCTCTCTAAAGACACTCGAAAATGTCGCTACGACTCGTCTCGCCGTGTTGTGAGTTTTTCCCCTGGTGACGAAGTTCTTCTATGGACTCCACTACGCGTCCCCGGCCTATGCGACAAATTCATCAGTCGCTTCATTGGGCCATACACGGTAATCGAACAGACATCTCCTGTCAATTACCGCGTTTCTCCTCTTAGCGCTAGTCCTGATCATCGTTGCCGAGGAACAGAGATAGTGCACGTATCTCGTTTAAAGCCTTATGCGCGACGCGATTCATAATACTGTCAAGCGACCAGGCGGCCGCTTTCACCGCGCGGGGGAATTAGTGTGAGCGCGACAAGCGAATGACTCTTTATTCTCTTTGTAATCATCATCACCTGTACATCTTCTTCATCTAGGAATATCATCACCGGCGTGATTTGAGCTCGAGCCTGGCCGAATAAACCGGTTCCTCACAATATATATATATATATATATAATATATATATATATATATATATATATATATATATATATATATATATATAGGCAGGCATGGTGGTTGAGTGGCCGTAGCGTTGTATATAGTCCAGTAGATCCTCCGTGAGCGGTCACAACGTGGTTTATTTCGACGTTTCGGCCTAGAGTCTGGCCTTCATCAGGATTGATGAAGGCCAGACTCTAGGCCGAAACGTCGAAATAAACCACGTTGTAACCGCTCACGGAGGATCTACTGGACTCTCTCTCTCTCTCTCTCTCTCTCTCTCTCTCTCTCTCTCTCTCTCTCTATATATATATATATATATATATATATATATATATATATATATATATATATATATATATATATATATATATATATATATATATATATATTGTCGCCGTAACGTAAATGAACGCGCGTGAAGAGCCTAACGGCCCAACACGGGAACAACAGCGCCACACACGACCAGGGTTCAATCGCACTCACGTCGTGTTCTGCCCCCGCTAAAAGGTGCCCCCGCCAGAGTGCTTTCCCATGTCGCGCTCTATTTACCGGTAGTAACAAAGTAACACAGTATTAAGAAAGTAGTAAAAAAAGGAGCGACAAAGTCATGCAGTGCTCTACAAGCTCACTTAGAACGCCACAAAGCGAGTGACTGCGCCGTTACACTCCTCAGGGGGCAAACCACGAAACGGCTCACTCGAGCAATGTGCTTTCGCACTTCGGCGCTCCGCTGTTGACGCCCGACACACGACAACGAAAATGTAAAAAAAAGGGGCAAAGTCATTTACCGTGACAATCCTTTCCCGTGCAGTTCTGGACGGCCTCCTCTGCGGTATCATACTCTGACTCCGCTGCATGTGGCCGATTGAGGGTGCCTGTGAGGAAGGACGAAGAAAGGAGTAAACAAGCGCGTGAAAACCGATCAACGATCTATCGAGCGAAGCACGAAAGGCTCAGAATCCAACGTGTCTCGCCACTTAGTTAAAAACATCCCGAGTGAATTAATCTGAATTCAGTGGGAAATTGCGTCTGTTCTCGCTCTTTTGTGACAACGTGTACCAATCATCAGAGAAAATATCACCGGTATATTGAACCAATTGGCGTTGACATCCAAATGTTCTTTTCCTGATGCTGAAGAACCACAAAGCAAAGCAAAACAAAGCATCAAAGAAAACGCAAGATAACTATTCTCGAAGATGATTAGCGCACATAAGTAAATGAGAACTGTTCTATAAATCTTTGCTGAACTATACAACAGTTAAGCCACGACAGTGGTTGAGGGGTGATGAACGGGAGGGTGGAAGTGGAAGGGGACGAAAAACAAGGTAGCCTCCCCCCGAAGCAACCCCCGCCAATTTTGAACTGGTCTACCATAGCAAGCCCAGCTTTTCCCTTTAAAAATACTTGTTAGCACCCTCGTTCAAGCTACGCTCCGGATAGTAACTTTTGTTCTTCCACCTATTATTTTGCGTGCCGAGTCAAACTTCCCAGCTTCCATAAGAGACAAAGAAATGCGGCGCATTCGCGTTGTTCCAACGTTCTCGGCTACTAAAGACGTGGGGCAAATCGACGAAACACAGGGCGGGCTGGGTCTTGTTCCTTTCACGGCATAACTACACGCTAGGACTAACCTACACGTCGAGCCACTCTGTCGAGAAAGCCTCCTTTCTCTCTTTCGAAATACGCACATTTCGTGCGGACAAGAGAACGTGCCTGCGTTCTCCGGGGGCGTGCCCCTCGACGACCAGGCGCCCGTCTCTTTCTTTGTTTTCGTGCCGCTAACAATGGACAGGAGGAGAGAGCGAGGGCAACCTGACACACGGAATCGCGGTCTCGCTCGTTGAGCCAGCCCCGCCGCGGTGGTCTAGTGGCTAAGGTACTCGGCTGCTGACCCGCAGGTCGCGGGTTCGAATCCCGGCTGCGGCGGCTGCATTTCCGATGGAGGCGGAAATGTTGTAGGCCCGTGTACTCAGATTTGGGTGCACGTTAAAGAACCCCAGGTGGTCGAAATTTCCGGAGCCCTCCACTACGGCGTCTCTCATAATCATCAGTGGTTTTGGGACGTTAAACCCCACATATCAATCAGTCAATCAATCGCTCGTTGAGCCAAGCCACGAAGGCCCTGGCGCACAATCAGTGACACGAGCATGGTCGATCAGCGAGCAACGGTATGGCAAGAACCGGCGACGTCTACGGTGTAGCGACGAAAAACTTTCACTCGAAGCGTCACGATCTCTTTTCCCTCGGTCCCACGTCCGTTTTGGTGACAACTGTGGTATATCGAGGAGACATTACAGCACGTCTTCTGCGACAGTCTCCGCTACATTTCGTATAGACAACCAATAGCAATCGCTGTGGCTCGCCTTGACGAGACAGCGGTGTCGGCAGCAGCCATTTTAGGATGCGGTCTGGTGAAGCTATCGCGTACGAAGGTGACAAAGGCGTCGCTCACCTTCTTTAACAACAGACTCGCACAGGTGTTTATAGACCAATATTGGTGTCGTGACTCTATGTGTGGTCCCCCTCTCCCTCTTTTTGCATACCTCTCGCCCTAAAGTTTGCTAAAATTAACTAGAGGAGTCTCTGGCTCTGCGATCGTTCAGCGACCGTGGGAATGATGGGTAGTACATGGATTTGCCTATAGTCTCCGTGCTTGCGGGCTTCGAACGGCCTTGTGGCTTTATTTGTTGCAGTGTTTCAGTTTTGTTTAGAACAAAAGAACAAACCGTTTTGAACTTCGTGAGCTGATTTGAAATAGGGATACTTAAAGGTGAAGGTGGTGAAGCTTAACTGCTGCATCTTTGCTGACTGCCGTTTCGTGACGAAGCAGCTCCAAGCCACCCGAAGCCAAGCAGACTCGAAAGTATGAGCGTTAGACAAATCCATGTACTACCCATCATTCCCGTGCTCGCGGAAGCGTCATGTATAGCAGCTTCCATAGACACTAGCGTCAGAGTTCCCTCTATAGTGTATATATAGGAAACTCTATGCCTCTCACTTTCAAACTTCCTCACCTCCTTCCTCAGTGCAGGGCAGCGTGCCAGCGATTCGAGGCTGGTTAACAACATGCCTGCCATTCCTCTCTGTCGTGTTGCTTCCTTCGGTTCAAGTTTTACACGCGAAGTGGCTAAGTCGTACGAGTGATCCTGCAACACTTAGGGTAGATTAAGCTAAGTTAGGTTAGATTAGGCTAGGTTTCGCAATCGTTAACGACAACCTAAATCAGCTGCTATTGGCCCAAGTCTTCGTATGTAGCTATATATGCTGCACCGTGCACGTATCGCATATATTTCACACACAACGAAACACAGAAAAAGGCGGGATAACCGCCTTGACTCTCCTTCATACCTCTCTTTGTCTCTCAAGTAATGCTAACAAAAACTTTGAAAAGCACAAAAGTAATTGATTTATTCGCTAATTCCGGTATTATTGTTCTGTGAAACATAGTATTTCAAGTAAGCACAATCAACTTTTAATTATTATTGCACGAAGCACTTACATTCACAACAAAAAAAAAAGAAGTGCTTGGCATTACAAAGGAAGCCACTAGCACGATTTTCTTGCCAAGATCAACGGCACGTGCGCTGCAGTTTTGAGGGCGCCGCCCGAATTTAGTAACCAACTATAGGGCACTTTCCGCATGCAGACTTCAACGTGAACCGTTATGAGGGGCCTTCTCCGCTCTTCCAGAAAAATAGGGCTGAACAACGAAATGTCCCTGTCTACCGACGGTATTTCTTTGCATTAGTTGAGACACTGTCACAGTCTTAAAGAGCTCCTAAGACCCCAGAAATATAAAGAACAAGTTCGCCTTTTTGGCACATTTAGTGACGCCAGCAGTTTGTTCACGCGACGCCATGGTGTAATGAGCTCTCAGCCGATTCGTATACCAGGGCTATCAGCTGTGACTCGCCTCCTTTCCCGTTTTGGCATGCAGCCGCACATCCGTTCTGTCTCGCCTCGCCTAGATGTTGCACGCAATCAAATGATTTCCCTTCGTTTTCCATGTTTTGGACTTCGCAAGCACAGGTAACATCGTGCACCCGAAGAGCGTGAAATCCTGATAACTTCAAGGCTTAGTGTTCACATTTTCCCCTTGTTCTACGAATAAATAAGCGACGAGGAGAGGATGCATAAATTCTTAAGATGAAAGAGCGTGGTGAATGGGGTCGAGCGACGTCGTAGTTGTCTCTAGGAAACGTGAATACGGGCCCTGGGCCCGTGTTCACAAAGACATATCAGTGATTTCTACATGCCGGCTAAATGATCTACCTTTCGATAGGAGGAGACAGCGCCTGTAGGATGGGGAACGAAGGTGCCATAGAAGCCACTCTGATTGGTATGTGGGGTTTAACGTCCCAAAACCACCATGTGATTTTGAGAGACGCCGTATTGGAGGGCTCCGGAAATTTCGACCACCTGGGGGTCTTTAACGTGCACCCAAATCTGAGCACACGGGCCTACAACAATTCCGCCTGCATCGGAAATGCTGCCGTCGCAGCCGGGATTCGATCCCGGGACCGGCGGGTCAGCAGCCGAGCACCTTAGCCACTAGACCACCGCGGCGAGACATAGAAGCAACTCTCTCGTCTTTGGTCTCAGAGTGGTTTAGGGACCCTTTAACGGCTTCTCGTTGTCGCAGCGTTCTCTTTTCCTCTCTCTTTCACGCCCCGTTTCCCCTAACCACGTACAGGGTAGCCAACGGGGGATATCCTCTGGTCCAGCACCTGGCTTTTATATCATTTTCATTTGTCTATACATTAGGTGAAGAAGCATAGAGGGAGAGTGCTAAAACGTCATCACGTGACCCACTCCTGCGTCGACATGTCGTCCCGACATATGCACGGCAAGACGGGCCCCCAGCCCGTATTCACAACGACATGTCAGTTGTTTCTGCACGCCTTCTAAATTATCTGCCTTTCAATAATAAAATCTCCCTCTATTTCTGTTTAATTTATTCACAAACACGCTTCATCTTGGAGTCCCTCGTAAGCAAAAAAACATTCAGCCAATAGCAATACTGGACGTATCAGTAGCGTAGCCAGTCCTACTAATGGTAAGATTAACTTAAGCACAAAAATAAAGAAAATAATTGGCCCCGTATCTGCAAGTTACACCGCAAATGTCGTCGAAAAACGATAGTCTTGCGTCTCGAGAGAGTTAGCAAAACGTTAATTTGATGTTCTGCGCAAGAAAATCAGTCAATGGTATTCTGGAGGCGTTGCGTTAGAGTGCCTCGAGTGTGCAGCGAAGCCGAACGAGCGCATCAAGTCCCGTCACACGTGAGATATGAGCGCTATCTGGTAGTTATCCTGGAAAACGGAACGCGCGGCGTGCGCGCCCGTCTCTGAGGCGATAAGGTGTAGAACGCAAGGCGACGGACAGGTGCCACCACCGTATCGTCTTAGCAAAACGTCGGAAACAATTGCCTTTTCGTGCAAGTGTTGCATGGTCAGCGCAGCGTGATAAACGCTACTGTCCTTAGGATTCTCTATGTATGCCTTTTCTAGTACAAAATACTGATACATAATATTGACCTGTTGATATGGTGCCTCAGATATGCACAACAATAGCTTTTTAATTGACAATCACACAAGTATGAACGCTGAACCTTGAGCAATATTGGTGGGCGCTGCGGATGGGGTCGGCCGTTTAGAGTATCGTTTGACCACTTTGGTGCCGTTAAAAATTACAGTTTAGGGCGGACAAACAGACAAATGTACAGCCAGATAGACCAAAATTTTTGCGTCGAAGGTCCCCAAGAAAGACTGTAGTCTTTGGAAGCTTCGCGAATTCTGTACGCTGGGCGGTTCTTTCACGGCAACAACGAAAACGAAATGGTACATCCCTCTGCTCGGCGGAGACGACGCGGAAG